TTCCCTACTCCAATGTCTCCCAGGGTTTCCCTAGTGTTTTCCAGGAGCAGTTTTATAGTTTGAGGTCTTAGATTTAGAGCTTTGACCCAAAAATATACTGTAAAGCTGTGATAATCCAAACAGCATGGTACTGGCACAGAAACAGACATGTGGACCAATGGAACAGAATAGAGTCCCCAGAAATAAATCCCTAAACATACAGTCAACTGATCTTTGACAAGGGGTACCAGTCCATCCAGTGGGAATAGGAAGATCTCTTCAGCAAATGGTGCTGGAAAAACTGGATTTCCACCTGCAGAAAGATGAATCTGAACCCCTCCCTCTCACCTTTGAGAAAAATCAAGTCAAGGTGGATCAAAGCCATATTTCCTTTTTCTAAACCTATTTTTTTTTTAAAGCTAAAGATATTTAAAATAGGAGTAACTGAGGATGGTCCCATTGCTTACTAGTTGAGGGAAAACCCATGTGGATGACTCTGGTTCGAATCCCAGCCTGGTGGCTTGAAAAACATATCAAGCACGTGTGCATGCGTGCCCAAAAAGGCCCGACAGGATGGAGGAATGGAGGAGAAGGGATTGCAGTTGACCACGCCCCATAGGGAGGTGTTTTTTCCCTCTCCCTCTTTGTGTGTCTCCATCTCTCTCTCTCTAGTGAGTGCAAAGCCCTCTGGCAATGGGAAAAAATTAGGAGTAACTGATTTTTAAAATGAGTCGTTCTTTTTTCTTCTTCTTTTTTTTAAAAGAATTATTTATTTAATTCCATTTGTTACTATTATTATTATTTTAATTTGACCAGAGAGAGACAGAGAGAGAGAAAGGGAAAGCAAGAAAGCAAGTCACCTGGTTTGGACTTGAACTGCAGTTGGCTATGTGGGAATTCAGGGCCTTTAACTACCATGCCACCTCCCGGTCCCAAGTTGTTCTATTTTTAACCACGTAGTATGAGAATGCCTTTCCCTTGTATTCAGGATATTTAATGAAAGAGTAAAATCAACTGAGGTAGGCAGAAAGGACAGAGCATAATCCATACCTGGGAACCTTACCGTATCTCTGGAGATAAAAATTCTGTATGGGAAGTTATATTATAATTACTGAGCTATGCAGTAAACAATAAGGTCAAAGTTGTACAGAATATAATAACTATTTTTCTAAAAATCTCTCTAGGGCTGACACCAGAGAAATTACGGAATGATGGAGAAGATGGTACTGAGGTAAATAGTTATAAACAGAGATCCCAAATACGATATCCCTAACAGAGTCAAATTCTTGGCTCTGTTTAGGAGAGAATTTTAGTCAGATACACTTTAAAAAACAATTTTTTTTTATTATAAAGCATCAAAAACCCCCAAGCATTTAAAATTTTTCTGTACTTACTGGACAGTAAACAAATCCATCACTTTTTTCATCAATGAAAACTAATTTGGTCCCGTTTGGGTCAGGAAAAATCTTTTTCACGCCGACAGGGTGTCGATAATCATTAACGAATTGCCAGTCTTCAATGTAGAAATATTGAATGACTCCAGTCTAAAAATAAATAAATAAATAAAAACACTCATGGAAATATGAAAGATAGACAAAAAAATACTTTCAGCATTTAAAATAACCTTATATCCTCATTTTAAGATAAAAATGCCATATTTTTTTTATGAAGGAAGGGTCTAAGGATAATATTTAGTTTACATGAAAGGTGTAGACCTAAGAAAAATCAGTAAAGTGGGGATGTACATTTAATTCAGTGGTTTATTAATGCTAATATTATTAGTGATACTAAAGCATAATTGATATTAATACTTCCTCCTTGCTGAAAATACCTTTATTATTTAATAATCATTTTCTCCCCCCCTAGAATTAGAGACATTCATTTAACTTTCAAATCATGTTATTTCAATAATTTTTGCTAATAATTAACAGATAAATCAGAGATTAATTTTCAGATTAAAAACAAAAAAATTAATATAATCTATTATATTTTTCTATATTAGCAATAAACATGTAAACACCAAAATAAAAACTATAATACCATTTATAAGCACACAAAAAATGAAATGCTTAGGTGTAAATTTTTTTAAAGTATTGCTTTTTATTTAACTTTATTTATTTTAATTGGTAAGAGAGGGACAGAGCAAGAGAGAGAGTGATATATATATATAGAGAGAGAGTGAAAGCAAGCCACCAGCTCTGGAACTCAAACTGTAGTCGGCCATGTAGGAATCCAGCCCCCTTAACCACCACGCCACCTGCCGGCCCTGACTCAGGTATAAATTGAACAAAACAGACACAAGACTTACATTGGGTCATTGGGAAAGTCATGATGCAGTTTTGCATAGGAAAACACAGGAAAACAATACATCATGACTTTTCTGACAACCCAGTATAATGAAAACTATAAACATCAATAAAATAAATCAAAGAACTAAATAAAGGAGAGGTGTACTGTGTTCATGGATTAGAAAACTGGGTTGACACAGCAAAGGTGTTAATTATCTCCAACTGATATACAGGTTTACTATCATAAATATTACATATCAGTAAAGATGTCAGCAAAGTGTTTGTAGATATAGACAAAATTATTCTAAAATTTCTATGGAGTGGTAAAGGAACTAGAATAGTTAAACCAATTTTGAAAACCATGTGGGGAGGAACCAGCAGTCAGTGTAATGGCTATGTCACTGGACTCCCATGTAGTTGACTGCGGTTCGAGTCCCGGACCCGGTGGCTTAAACTCACGTCGGGTGTGTGCGTGCATGTGCCCAAGATCATGAGAGGAGAATGGAGGAGAAGGGATTGTGGTATGGCCATCCCCCCTGGGGGGTGATTTCTCTCTTTCTGTCTCTCTGTCTCTCTCTGTCTGTCTGGTGAGCACATGCACCCTATACCAAAAACTTCTGAAAAAAAAAAAAAACAAAAAAAACAGAAAAGAATTGCTTACAGTCACAAAAATGACAAAAGCAAACCAGGCCACCTAAGTATGTAATTAATCACAGGTAACCCTATGACTAGTATTAGACTCAATATAGAAAAACCCGGCAGGAAAAAAACGACCAAAACGGTGGGGAAATGTGGAATCCCTAGTTCTCGCTTAGAGAAGGCCATACGTACGTCGGTGCCATAGATGAGGAAGTCGGCGGTGAGGGCGTGACACAGGATGCGGCACTTATCGTCCACTGCTGGGAAAAGCCGAGTCTCCCGTTCTTCCTGAGTATCCAAGATTTCACTTTCTATCTGAAACGTAAATAGCAGGGCTTTGTAGATGGAGCTGAGTAAACGTGGTGTGCGGGATCTAGGATGGGAGTTCAGGAGATCATTCCCTTAAATTCAGCTAAATGTTGGGACCAGCAGTTGGCGTAATGGCTATGTCGCTGGTCTCCCATGGAGTCGACTTCAGTTCATGTCCCGGACCCGCTGGGCACGTGTGCGTGCGTGCCCGAGATCCCAAGAGGAGAATGGAGGAGAAGGGATTGCGGCATGGCCATCCCCCATGGGAGGTGATTTCTCACTTTCTGTCTGTCTTTCTGGAGAGCACACATGCCCTATAGCAAAAGCTTCTCCAAAATAAATAAATAAAATCAACTAAATGTTCAGACTCACAAGACACCGCAGTCCAGTTAACTCAGAGAGGTGGCAGGTGGGAGCCACAGCCTGCCAGTCGGGCGGCACTAGGCGGCCCTCTTCAGTGAGAATTCCCTTCAAAGCTGGCTCTGCAGCCATCTCCTGGCTAACCTCTTAGACTTCCCGGATGTGCAGAGCCAAGAAAAGCTGTGGGAGAGGCCTTTGGTTTAGAAGCCTCATTCCCACAGGTGCCGACAGCTTAGCTGGCAAGTTTTGACGATCTCCAGAGGCCTAGTGCCCGAATTATGAGTTAGTACACACTAGGAAGCCCAGTGGCATGGCACTCCCATCAAGGTTTTACAGCTCATTCTAAATGCAATTTACCAACGGGGTCATTTTATCTGTGCATGATGTCAGCTGTCCAGGTGAGGCTTTGTCAGGTTGCTGGGGAACAGAGCTAGAAAATTACCTGGACGTCTCATACAACAGGGGAAAGGCTTTGCTAACCCTTTATAGACACCTGGCTTCCCAGCCAGCCTGTAAGCCAGCCTGACCACAGATTTTTAGTTTATGATTTTTGATTTTTTTTTTTTTGGAGAGGTTTTTGCTACAGCGCACATGTGCTCACCAGAAAGACAGAGACAGACAGAGAGACAGAAAGCGAGAAATCACCCCCCAGGGGGGATGGCCACACTGCAGTCCCTTCTCCTCCATTCTCCTCTTGGGATCTTGGGCACGCACACACACGCGCCCGGCGTGAGATTAAGCCTCCGGGTCCGGGTCTTGAACTGTAGTCGACTACATGGGAGTCCAGCAACATAGCCATTATACCAGCTGCTGGTCCCAATTAAAAGAAGGGGGAGGGAGAAAACACTGCCCCAGTGTGGCATGGTCACACTGCAATCCCTTCTCCATTGCTCCATCCTGCAGGGATTTGGAGCATGCATGCACACAAACACACACAGTGTATTTTTTAAGCTGCTGGGGGCCAGGATTCATGCCACAGAGCCGGCCACATGGGATCCAGCTCCCTAAGCACCAGGCTGCAGTCCTCGACGGTCAAACGTTCGGCTGCCCATCGTCACTTGCCTCGGCTGCCTTCACAGGACACGGCATGATACCTACCAAGTGTAACTGGACTTTGCCCTCAAAGAGTGCGGCCGCGTAATCAGAATAAAGGCAGATACTGGCGACAGTTCCCAGATATTCCACGTCTTTCAACTTTTTCACAGCTGCAACAATTCCAAACACACATTAAATATAGATAACACTACCTTACATACATATTTGCAAATCATTTTTTTCTGAGAGAAATTTGCCATAGGGCACATGTACTTGCTGGGCAGAGACAGAGACAGAAAGCGATAAATCACCCCCTCACCCAGCCAGGGAGATGGTAACGACCAATCCCTTCTTCTCCTCCATTCTTCTCTTGAGATTTTGGGCACGCATGCCCTTGTAACTGGCATGAGTTTCAAGCCACCAGGTCTGGGACTCAAACTGTGATTGACCATGTGAGAGTCCAGCACCTTAACCACTAAACTACCTGCTGACCCTGAAAATAATGTTTAAGTGCGTGCCTTTGCAAAGATATGCTAACTTAAAATTTTAATTTTAGCCATTCTAAAGAAAATCTGAGGTTGCCATATGAATTTCCTTTCAGGAATTCCATAATGGTTCAGATGAAAAAGCAACAGAAAAATAAAATTACGGGCAAGTCAGTGGCATGGTGGGTCAGGTGGCTGGATCCCGCATGACTGACTATGCAGTTCAAGTCCTGGACCAGACAGCTTGAGAAACATGCCAGGCACATGTATGTGTGTGTGCCCAAAAGGGGGGAGAAGGGATTGCAGTGTGACCATCCTCTGTGGGGGTTGCTTTCTCACTTTTCTCTCTCTCTTTGAGGCAAGTGCACATGCCTTAGCAAATGAAAAAAAAACCCAAAAAACAAAAAACAAAATTACATGTAAAATAATCAAGAATTAAACTTCAGTCACAAGAAGGTTAATAGTATTTTCTATTTAATGGATTTGATCTCAGGCTTGTTCTATTCTTTTATTTTTTTTAGAAGGATTCTCCTCAGGGCTCACCAAAGAGAAACAGAAACCATGAGAGGGAAAGTGAGAAATTGCCCCGAGAGGGGATGGCCACACCATAATCCCATCTCCTCCATTCTCCTCTCAGGATTTGCAGCACGCACACACACATGCCCAGTGTGATCTTCGAGTCGCCGGGTCCAGGACTTGAACCATGGTTAGCCATGTGGGAGTCTAGTCGCCTTAACCATCATGCCACCTGCTGACCCCAAGGCTTACTCTATTCTTGAAGGATATCTGACCTCGAGTGAGGGAAAGAAGGAGAGAGGGGAGGAAGGGGAAGAAAAAAGCAAAGTTCCCTTCATGTGTTCACGGCCATTATGCAAAGAATGAAAGGTCAGAGAAAACCAGTATTTATTGGGCAAAGACTGAAGAGTGCCTGGTGAAGTCATCGTATCAAGTGAGATCATACACTTCACTTCTCTCATCGCCTTCATGACTCCTTAAAAGAAGTACCCTCATTTTCTGCTTTTTTGGGAGAGGTTTTTGCTGTAGGGCGTGTGCGTGAGCCAAGAAGACAGAGACAGAAAGCGAGAAATCACCTCCCAGGGGGGATGGTCACGCTGCAATCTCTTCTCCTCCATTCTCCTCTCGGGATCTTGGGCATGCATGCACATGCGCCCGGTGTGAGTTTAAGCCACCGGGTCCGGGACTCGAACCGCAGTCGGCTACATGGGAGTTTAGTGACACAGCCATTATGCCAACTGCTGGTCCCAAGTATCCTCCAGATGAGTAGTAAAGCAAAGTTCACGAGGACAGTTTGTTTATAATCACTTTGCTAAAGAGACAAGTGAGCGTTTAAATCCAAGGTCTCTTTAATTCTCTTTTCTTTCTTCCTTATTTTTGCTAGAGGTGCATGCACTCATCAGAGCGAAGAGAACTAGAGTGAGGCAGAGGAGAAAGGACCCCCATGGGGAATGGCCGTGCTGCGATTCCTTCTCCAGCTCTTCCTCCCTTCGGGATTTTGGGCATATGCACACATGTGCCTGGCGTGCTCCTCAAACTACTGGGTCCAGGACTCAAACTGCATAGTCAGCCGTGTGGAATCCAGCTGCCTTAACCACCAGGCCATGGAGCTAGCCCTCATGTCTCTTTCATTCTAAAGATCATACTCTACCCACTATGCTGATGCTGTTTTCACTACAAAGATAAAAAATAAAACCCTTTCAAAAATTGTGTGCTTTAAAGGAGTCGCAAAAGCTTAAATGTTAAGAAAGAGATGTCTGAACAAAAGAGAATGAAATACTTCATCTTCAAAGAAACTTCTAGGGGGTTTAGCAGAGGGTGTGGTGGTTATGGCACTGGATTCCACATAGCTGACTGTGATTTGAGTCCAAGACCCAGCGACTTGAAAAATGCCCCAGGTGTGTGTGCCTATGTGCACAAAATCCCAGGAGGAGAATGGAAAAGAAGGGATTGAAGCATGGCCATCCCCCTGGGGGGTGGGGGGTGATTTCTCACTTTCCCTCTGTCTCTCTATGCACCCTATGGCAAACACATACACAAAAAAGAAACTTCCAGAGTTTCCCCAAAACTAACAGAAATGATATGGTTATAAGAGTATAGGAACCAGCAGTTAGCGTAATGGTTATATCACTGGACTCCCATGTAGTCAACCATGGTTCGTGTCCCGGACCCGGTGGCTTAAAACTCATGCCGGGCGTGTGTGTGTGAGTGCCCAAGATCCCCAGTGGAGAATGGAGGAGAAGGGATTGCGGCGTGGCCACCCCCCAGGGGGGTGATTTCTCGTTTTCTATCTCTATGTCTCTCTATGTCTTTCTGGCAAGCGCACACACCCTATACCAAAAACCTCTAAAAAAGAAAAAAAAAAAAGAATATAATCACTAGTTTGGACTTGCCGTTTTCTCCGAGGACGTAAAACCAAGCTCGATTATTCATCCCCACAGCCAGATGGTAGAGACCTACTGCCACGAAGCTGGGTTCCACGTCAACCGAAACGGTGATGGGTGACTCCTATAAGACAGGACAGTGCAGAGGAGTGAATCAACCTCTAAAACTATTCAGACTGTTAGCAATCAACAAAACATAACCCCATCTTCATACTCCTTCCACGGGGTTGGCGACGGTGACTTCAAGGAGGGAGGTGAGAGACGCGATCCTCGTACTGCAGGCGTCCCCGAGGATGGGGAGCTTGGTCAGGAAAACATGGAGTGAGCCCCTCTGGGTAGACAGCGCCAGCAGCTGGCCATCATCTGTCCAGGACAAGGTACCCAAGCCTGGAACGAATGACAGAAGAAATGAGCATTCAAGAACAATACGCCGCTGTGGGTAAGCAAGCATTTTCATGTACGTTACCAGAGGCATGAAAAAAAAATCTTCAGCCGTTCTCTTCACTAGTTTCAGCAGAACTTATTTAGACTAGGGAACGCACCGTGGACTGACATAAGGATATGAATATGAACACTGACATATTCGATAGAGATCAAAAGGAAAGTATATAAGAATCCCCATTTTACTATTGGCATTAGAGTGAAATTCACTATAAATCTTTGGATCGAAGTGGATTTCTCTCCTTCTAGTCAAGTAGTATGACAACATAATTACTAAAATAAGGAGAGTATTTTAGGGCACCTCTGTCAAGAGTGTTCATTTTATTTTTTTTTTAGAGGTTTTCGCTATAGAGTGCGTGCACTAGTCAGACAGACAGAGAGAGACAGAGACAGAAAGTGAGAAATCACCCCCCAATGAGGATGGCCATGCCACAATCTCTTCTCTTCCATTCTCCTCTCGGGATCATGGGCACACACGCACACGAGCCCGGCATGAGTTTAAGCCACCGGGTCTGGGACTCGAACCTTCGTCGACTACATGGGAGTCCAGCGACATAGCCATTACGCTAACTGCTGGTCCCCAAGAGTGTTAATTTGATCTTCCCCATAATAAACGCAAATCATACCACAACAAACATTACTCTCTATATGATGAAATGTCAATCTGCTTCTGAAAAATCAATACCTTTATTCTCCTCATCCAGGTTGATTATAGCGTACATGTCTTTTAGTTCTGCCAAGTCATGAATTTTAATACTGAAAAATAAAAATACATATATATTTTGAATATGCACGAGCTTCCTGTAAAATGATTAGTTCACGAAAAGTTATTAACTGTGGAATAGTCGGTGGTCCAGGATGATCTTTTGGGTTAAGGTAAGAAAATATTAGAATTTCTATATTTAATTATATTTTATCGTTAATTGTTAAGATATAATTTATTTACATTTAATTGTTGTATGTCTTGGTGGGATATAATGTGGCTTTTCAAAGTGTGCATGCAGGGTGGTGAACCAGCAGTTAGCGTAATGGCTATGTCGCTGGACTCCCACGTAGTCGATCGTGGTTTGCGTCCCGTACCCGGTGGCTTAAAACTCACGCCGGGCACGTGTGCATGCGTGCCTAAGATCCCGAGAGGAGAATGGAGGAGAAGGGATTGCGGCGTGACCATCCCCCCTGGGGGGTGATTTCTCGCTTTCTGTCTCTATGTCTCTTTCTGTCTGTCTGGCGAGCGCACGCGCCCTATAGCAAAAACCTCTCCAAAAAAAAAAAAAAGTGTGCATGCAGGGTGTGGTGATCAAGTAAAGGATATTACCATTTCGTCATCTTCAACAAAAAACATCAATATCATGCACCTGCGATTTATTTATTTATTTTTTTAAGTGTGTGTACATGCGTGCACACATTCATGTGCACAGTGGGAGAGGTGAACAAAGGAGAGTTGTGTTCAGCTTAATTCTCAAATCAAGGGACCAGGAGTTGGCATAATGGCTATGTCGCTGGACGCCCATGTAGTTGATCGCTGTTCAAGTCACGGACCCGGTGGCTTAAACTCACGCCGGGCGCGTGTGCGTGTGTGCCCAAGATCCCGAGAGGAGAATGGAGGAGAAGGGATTGCGGCGTGACCATCCCCCCTGGGGGATGAGTTCTCGCTTTCTGTCTCTCTGTCTCTCTCTGTCTTTCTGGCCAGCACACACACCCTATAGCAAAAACCTCTCAAAACAAAGAACCATTGTGAGTATTTGTGTTGGTTTATTACTGTTTTTGTTATTCTATCCTACTGAGGTGTCTTTCCTTCCCTTGTACTACACGATCTATAGTTATACCATAACTTTAATATCAAGTAAAATGATTCCTCCCATTTGATTCTTAATTAAAAATTGTATTTTTAAAATAATTACTTATTTAATTTTATTTACTCATTCATTTATTTTAATTTTACCTGAGAGAGACCGACAGAGAGAGAGAAAATGAGAAAGCAAGCCACCAGGTCCAGGATACGAACCATGGTCAGCCATGCGAGAATGTCCAGCACCTTAGCCACCATGCCACCTGCTGGTCCCTCAAAATTGTATTCTTTAGATAGAGTCTCGCCATGTTGCAATACTTGTGTCTCAGCCTTCCACGGAGCTGGGACTGCAGGTACGTGTCACTGTGCCAGGTTTCCACTTACTCCTTTTAACATTTTTAGTTATCTTAGGAACTGTGCTTTTCTATATTTATTTTTAAGTAAACTTGTCTGTGTCTATGAAAAACAAAACCACACTAGGATTTTGTAGTTGGGCCTCTCTTAATATTCTTTTAATTGCCTCTAAATCTGCAGTGATACCCCTGTTTCATTTATGATATTGGTAATTTGTGTCTATTATTTTTTTTTGTTAGTTTTACTAGAGTTTTACCATTATTCTCCCCCTCCAATTTTTTTTTTTTTAGCGGTTTTCGCTATAGGGCGCGTGCGCTCACCAGACAAACAGAGACATAGAGACAGAAAGCGAGAAATCACCCACCAGGGGTGATGGCCACGCCGCAATCCCTTCTCTATTCTCCTCTCGGGATCTTGGGCACACACGCACATGCGCCCGGCATGATTTTAAGCCGCCGGGCCCGGGACTCGAACCGTGGTTGACCACGTGGGAGTCCAGTGACATAGCCATTACGCTAACTGCTGGTCCCATCAATGGCATTTTTTTGATGCCTTTTCTAAGCAAGTTGAAATTTTCTGGATTGTTCATATGCCAAAGTTAGTTTGGATCACATTCTGAACATTTGAAGAGTGTAAGGCTGTCTGGTCTAAGTCACTCAGGGAAGACGGTATTTTTGTTTCAGCTGGCAGTCAATCTGGCTGGTTTCAGACTACAAGTTTCAAGCAGACTTCTGTGGGTTATGGGTTCAAAGTCAGTTCCGCTTTCAAAGCCTTTGCAGTGATACTCAGCTCTGTCCCTGGATGGCCCACTCAGTAGCTGGTCGAAAACCTGGACCATGAACTATTCCTTAGTTCAGTTCTCAAAGTCTTTGGTATATATTTAGAGTAAGAGCTCTCCATTCAAGCTCCAGGATGAACCCAGGAGTTCAGAAACATCTTTATGGGGGCACTGTCTTGGGTTCTTCACTCTCTGATCAATTTGGTACTTTCCAGTTCCCTTGGGCTCTCTTTCTGGTCTTCCAGGACTGCTAGGGCTCTAGTTAACCTGTTCTACATCATATTTCACACAACTGCACCAGTCCCTGGGGCCAAGCAGTGGGAAGACAGAGAGAACATTAAGCAGCAGGGGTTTGTCCCACCTTCTTGGGACACTACACATCTAATTAGAGAGGAAGGTTGCCTTCCATCACAATTTTAGGTATCTGTGGGTTATCGGTGCCACTGCTCTTGCTGCCACCGCCATGGTGAGATTGCTTGGTAGTAAGGGCACGAGACAACAAAGAAGGAAAATAAAGGAAACTGGGGGCTACTCCCAAGTGCCTCTGAGCCATTCTCGTTCCTGCAACTTGAGCCAGACTCGAAGTGCTTCTCTTGGTGCACTGTCTGTATTCCGGTGCGTACTTCCAGGTTTGGGGCTGCTGTGAGTCCCGGCTGGGACAGACTGGAGGACAAACAGCAAACTCAATGCTGGCGTGGTGATACTTTGGATTCTGGTCTTCTCCACTGTGTTGCTACTATTTCCTTTTGAGAATATTAAACAGCTGCTGCATGCATTCTGTCCGAACTTTATAGCTGTGTTCAGTGGTGGTGGTGGTGGTGGGGAGCACGCTTACCTCATGTTACCAGGAACTGCCTATTTTATTTTTAAGACAATTTCTCAAGCACCTTCCAGTTTATGTTTTGCACTGAGTGCTGAAGGCAGGTGTACATGAGTTGTGGAGATTTCCGACTGCAGATGTGTTCTACGAGTGCAAGAAAGTAAGGTTGCCAGATTCGTAGAGCTGCTAAAGTTTCACTGATTTTCTTAAATATTGCCCTATATTTTCCGGTACCAGCAGTTAGCGTAATGGCTGTGTCGCTGGACTCCCATGTAGTCAACGATGATTCGAGTTCCGGCCCCGGTGGCTTAAACTCACGCCAGGCGCGTGTGCGTGCATGCCCAAGATCCCGAGAGGAGAATGGAGGAGAAGGTATTGCGGTGTGGTCATCCCCCTGGGGGGTGATTTCTTGCTTTCTGTCTCTATTTCTCTCTCTGTCTTTCTGGTGAGTGCACATGCCCTATAGCAAAAACCTCTACAAAAAATGCCCTATATTTTCCTAGAAATATGTGAATATAACTTACCAGTTATCTCCACATGTAGCAACTTTGTTAAGAGTCTGTGACATTGCAATGCTGGTTAGATTATCTTTATGCTCACGAGTCTGAAATATCTCTTGTCCAATCTCTTGGATATGAGTAGAAATGGCCACAAAATTCCCGCGTGAGAAACCAATCATGATGTAGCCATCACCATACCTACAGGAACACAGGTAACAATATGGTTAAAAAAAAAAAGAGAGAGAGTAACTATCATTGGCAATCTGGGTAAATTAGGAAGCACTTTAAGATGAAGGAATTACAGAACAGAATTTATCAGTTAGATAGTAGGTGAGGTAGTTTCACAATCGAAATCAAACTGTAATTCAGAAAATGCTAAATGGAGAACTGAATGTTACAGACAAAAATTAAATATAATTTGGGCGCATGCCTAAGAGCCCAAGAAGAGAATGGAGGAGAAGGGATTGTGGCACGGCCATCCCCACTGGGGGTGATTTCTCACTTTCTGTCTCTCTGTCTCTCTCTGTGTTTCTGGTGAGCGCACGCACCTTATAGCAAAAACCTCACAATAAATAAATAAATAAATACAATTAGTAAGGAGAAACACATGGATAATCATCCGTAACGAGCTTTTGTACATACAATTAGTAAGGAGAAACACATGGATAACCATCCGTAACGAGCTTTTGTACATACCAATTATAACAGACAATGGTGCCATAGCAGTGTTGAAATTCCAGATCGATCGGGTTCTCTGGTTCATTCAGATTAAAGAGGAACAGAGTTCTCTTGCCAAGCACCACACTTATCTGCCAGAAAGATTAGGAGATCATGAAATGAATGACCCGGCATCTCGTGAAAAGGCTGGTGAGTAAATCCAGACAGCTGAGTGAGTTTGTGAAACAGCAAGCCAATTCAGATGTGCAGCTAGAACAAATACGACTAAGTATAAAATGTGCATGTATTAATGTGTACTCTGGTGAGGGTCCTTGGCTTCACATATCTTTAATATATACACCCTGTGAAATATTCTCAAATACCTCTGTGGAATAACCTTTCCAACTCTCTATAGCACTCGTTGGGGTCCTGTATAATACAGGAAAGTGAGTCTGACATATTTCTACTGCAACTGAATTCATAGCCAGAGAACGAGTCTTCTGCTGTGCGAGGTCATTCTGCTTTGAGCCCTCTGGATGTACAGACTCACAACCCTGTGAACAATCCAGCTTGACTTTGTATACTGTCACTGTTTCCACCCCTGCATGTCAGTGTGGCTAAACTAGTGTCCCCCTGCTACTCACATGGTCAACACCTACCTACCCGGAATTCCCATTGGAGGGTGTAATTACTGGGACAGAAACGAGTGCATTGCATCTTTGGGTTCCTATGGGCGACACATACATTTCCTTGATTCTAACCTAACTATCAATTCTAATTCATTTTCAATGTAAGAACTGCTTTTGGGGAAATAAGTATTACTTCCTTAAATATACTCATGTCGACTGTGAAAATCACCTGGATTTCAGACTGTTATATGTGGCAGGGAAAATGTGTCTAAGTATTATAAAGAAAGAATCTAGAGGGCCAGCTGGCAGCATTGTGGCTAAGGTGGTGGATTCCTCATGGCCTACTAGGTAATTCGAATCCTGGATCCAGCTGCTTGAAAAACACACCAAGTGTGTGTGCATTTGTGCCTGAGATCTCAAAAGGAGGAGAGATAAGGAGAAAAGACTGGATGACCATTCCTCTGCTTTCTCACTTTCCCTCTCTCGTTCTCTCTCTGACCCTCTTCAGTGAGTGTGTGCACCCTCTGGAAACAAAACAAAACAAAAAAACAAACAACCTCTCCCCAAACCACTACAATTTCCAGACCTCTGTTCACCACATCTGATAGAGCAAAAAGTTTTAAATCATACCAAAATCAATATCTCTGTTTTTTAAATACCTCCAACTGTTTTTTGCTACTATAAGAATAATTGAAAAACAAACAAACAAACAAAAAACCAACCCCAACTAAAGTAGGAAGCTATCCCCCTTTGCTGTGATACCAGGTTATTAGCAGTAGCAAAAACAACTTGTAAGCCTTAAAGACTGAACCCTGCAATGGACCAGCCCTGCAGCACCGTGGTTAATGCTATGCAGAGGAAGCCAGATCCCACATGGCTGCCTGGGGTTCAGGCCCTGGCAGCTTAAAAAAATATGCTAAGTGCACGTGTGCATGGCCAGGATCCTGACAGGACAGAGAATGAAAGGAAAAAGGAAAGCAATATAACCAGGCCCCATGGGAGATGCTGGGGCTTACTCTTCCCCTCCATTCCTCTCTCTCGTGCACATGCCCTCGAGCATTAAAAAAAAAAAAAAAAAAGTATTACCAGAGACAGTGTAGGAAGACGGTGGGAAATGGCAGAGGGTGTGAGGGAGGGAATCGAGGCGGTTAAAAAAAAAAAGCAAAATATATAAGAAACAAGAAATGGAAAATCATTTGTTGAAGATAACGTGTATGGTAATATCTTTGATTGAGCCAATATACAATATATCCTGGATGGGAAAACTCATTTCATATGCTGCAGTGATATACAGTGAATGAATATAAAATGAATAAATTAAAAATAAAATAAATAAAGAAAAACATATGTAAGTAAGAATTCTTACCGTGCTTTCAGAAATACCGGTTCGGTCATCAGTCTTCATCACAGAAAACTGCATGTCACTAGGCTCTGATTTCACTGGTGTCTACGGGTGAAAACATCATCACGTTGAACAAACCCATTAGAAACTCATTCTGCATATTAATAAAACAGGTAATGCGGCTTCATTTCTGACTACTGTTAGAGCCCGAAAATTCAATCGCCACAAATGGATACAAATTCTTGATAAAACAAAATATAACTTATTAAAGGGTAGACAAGCTTGAAAGAAAGTAAGAAAGAAAAACAGGAAGGAAGGAAGGAAGAGAAATTTATAGGAACCCTCAGCAAAGAACAAACTCAAACCAGAATATATACAGAAAATGATGCTGCAGCTATCCAGAGCAGCTGGTAAACAAAGGCAAAGAAAGACAAAGAAACAGAAAGTTCATTCAAGAATTTGTATTTAGGGGACCAGCATATGGCGTAATGGCTTTGTTGCTGGACTCCCATGTAGTTGACCAGGGTTCGAGTCCCAGACCCAGTGGCTTAAACTAATGCCAGGCACATATGTGTGTGTGCCCAAGATCTCGAGAGGAGAATGGAGGAGAAGGGATTGCAGTGTGGTCATCCTCCCTGGGGGATGATTTCTCGCTTTCTGTCTCTCTCTGTGTCTTTCTGGAGAGTACATGCCCTATAGCAAAAACAACAAAAAAAAGGAATTTGTAATTAGGGCTAGCAGGTGGCATGGGAGTTAAGATGGCAGGATCTCACACGGTCAACTGCATGATTCAAGTCCTGGACTCAGCAGCTTGAAAAGTACACTGGGCGTGTTTGTGTGCATGCCCAAAATCCTGAGGTGAGAGTGGAAGAGAAGGGAGCGTGGCATGGCCATCACCCTTGGGGAGTGAGTTCTCACTCCCTCCCCCATCTCTCGATCTCTCTTTGGCTAGCGCACTGTAGCAAACTAAAATAATAATAATATTTATAACTAAAGACCTGCCCTTCTATGTTCACTATTGTCTGAAGTTCAAATTTATAAAATGAATGGTCTGGGAGCGCCTAGGATGAGAAGTTAATATAAAATGTAGAGAGATTCAGGTTTGTATTGCCTGAGGCATGTCTGGGAAAAAATGCAGAGCTCCTTCCAAGGTTGAAAAAATTCCCACAGAAAAACTCTAAAGATGAGTTCCCAATTCAAAATTCCAAAAAGAAACTACTTGCCAAGGGCAAGAGGGGTCAGCACGTGGCATTGTGGTTAAGGTGCTGGACTCCCACATGGCCAACCACAGTTCGAGTCCCTGACCTGGTGGCTTGAAAATCATGCCAGGTATGTGTGCGTATGTGTCCAAAATCTCAAGATGAGAAAAGAGGGGAAGGAACTGCAGTGCGGCCATCCCCTCTCGGGGGTGATTTCTCACTTTCCTTCTCTCTGTCTCTCTTTGGTGAGCACACCCAAGGCAAAAACCTTTAAAAACAAAAAAACATAAAGAGCAAGAGTGAGCAGATCCCAAAATAACAAAATGAGCAGAGAGAGAAGAAGAGAGAGCTCATAAAATAAATATTTATAACTTGACGAGGTATCAAAGAATTCATAACTATGAGAAAAAGACTTAAAAAGTTCATTTTTTAAAGTGCATATGTATTTTTGCATACTAGGGGGTATATCTGTTGGATAAAGAACTAGAAGTCTTACCATTGAGTTGACAAGTACATGTGCAGACCTGTGAGCTATTTTCAAATTTCCCTCCAGATGGGACAGACCAATTTTATCCATAGTTTCATCAATTGATCTGTCAACATCAACATGTTGTCATGGTATACATAATTTTGCCAGTCTGATAAGTGAGATATGGTATTTCTGTGTGGCTTTAATTTTCTAGTTCTTGAATTCTGAGTTTGATAAATTTTGTCATGCCTGAGAGCCATTTTTATCTATTTTTGTGTGAATTGTCTATGGGAGTCCAGTGACATAGCCATTACGCGAACTGCTGGTCCCATAGCAGTCAATATTTTCACACTAATACCAGGTTAATCTTCCTGAAGAACCACCTTAACCATGCCATGGTTCTGCTCAATATGGTAGGGTGAATTACTTCCGCCTAGCTTTTAAAGCTGTCCAAGAATAGGGACCAACTTTCTTTTCAGTTTTAACTTTGTGTAAAGTCTCAAACAAAGCCCATAGCTTTCGTTGGGTCAGGCTTGAACAAACCATGTACCATGTCACTTAGGTAGATTAAATTTGCCGCCTCCCTGGCAGCAATTAGGTGTGGCTATGACTAAGCTCTAGTCATGACGAGTGGAAATAATAATGCATCTTCCAGACTAGGTCCTTCACAAGTTTCTTGCACTCTGTTTCTGTCTCTCTTTCCTGGGGCTGACATGCTGACGAGGTCCTGCTGCAGGAGTTTCTACCCTGCAGGGGAAGCACAACTCCCTAGAAGATGGTGGTGCAATGAGGGAGAAAGAACCTGGGACTCTATGCAATCTTGGAGAACAGAGATGCCCAGATGACCTGCCACTTCTCTAATGTTACATGAGAAAGAGAAAGAGGAAAACAAAATTATTCTTCTAGCTGCTGTTACGTGGGGTGCCTTGGTTACAATAATTTAGTATATGCCTGCTTGATTCATGTTACTTTCTGCCTTTTAAAGACTGACAATCCAATTTTTATTGATCTCCTCTGTCTCCCAAATACTACCGAACTTGTAAGCTATATCCCCAACCTGGACGATCACACAAGGCTGTGTGTTTTATAATCGTTAGTAACGTCTCCTTGAAGAGTAGGGCCGGGTACTCAGTAGCCTCTAAGACTGTCCACGAGAATCGCAACCCCTCCTGGTTTAATACCATCCGTCATTCTCATCCTGGCCCTTCTGAGGATGGCTGGACTTAGAAACTCTCTTCCAAAGAACAGACTATGGCAAAAGCGATGGTGAGATTAGGATATAAAGAGACTGTGGCTTAAGTCTCTCACCAGCTGCTATGTTGTGAGGTACTCTATGGTAAGACCCAATTTGGCAAGGAAAGGAGGAAGGCTTCCACTGAACAGTCAGAGAGGAATTGAGACCTGTGACTTATAACCTGTGAGGAATGGCGTCCTGTCAGTGCCATGTGAGTGACATGGGAAGCACATTTGCCCCCATCGGGCCTTCAGATGAGACTAGCCCTGACAGCATGAACACAGCTTTGTGAGAAAGCTTGAGGCAGACACCCAGATAAACAGCATCCGATTCTTTATTCACGAAATCTGTGAGAGAATATCCTTTGAAGCTGCTGTTCTGAGGTAATTTGTTATGTATCAGTAGATGACTAATTTGGTTATAGCTCATATTTCCCCCATATGCATAATACCTAAGTATTCAGAGAAATTATAGTCAGTATTGCTCTAGCAATACTAAATCGTAAGCAGCAGTCTAAAGTGAAATTGTCTCATTGGTGGCTTATGGCAATTCAAACCCCCTTAACTAAAGGGAGCCTCTGAACCACTCACCAATCTTGGGAAATTTGAACAGTAGCACAATTTAATATTAAGACGAAATGAAATTAGTCTTGGTTTAGAAGCAATTTGACATATTGCTTAAAGGTATGGGCTTTGGAATCAGGCGGATTTGACTCCGAGTCAGGATCTATCAGTCACTACGATTTATAGTGTAAACATACATACATAAAATGGAAGTTATTTCACAAACATACTGTCAGACTGTAGCCACAGAGCTGGTAATCCATGGTAATACCAGGTCATGGGAAACACACAAAGGGGAATATTTGACTATTCCAATAAATTCATATTGAACAAAAATGTTTTAATACATAAACAAAGGTTTTCGGTGTTTAGAAGTCATATGTACACATCTCACACAGATTTTTAAATGTTATACATTTAATAAACAAACTTCATTTGGGCGACAATGTGAATACATCGGAGCAAGGAACCGTTACTGTATTACCTGTCTTATCGTGTCACCTTCTTGATTGCTAATTGTAATCATTTTATCATCACCTCCTAAAGCAAGTAGATTTTCTGCATTCCAACATCCACATGTAATTCTCTTAGTGTGTTTTCCTGAAAAAGAGATGATTTTTTTTTTTTTTTGTACAGACACATGATTTCCAAAGAAAAAGAAATCTGTGATGCTGATCTGCAAGTTTAGGTAGGATACCAGAGGATGAAACAGATGAGGAATTTAGAATCCCATCGTAGCCATTAGGGTCTAAGTAACCTTATTTAAAACAGTTCCTTACCAAGTTATAAATCAAGATAATGGCATAGAAAGGAACTTCACAAAGCTTATGGCATAAGGGAATTAAAATAGGCCTTTATTTTGGTGCAAAATAATTTTGAAAATCATGCATAGTTTTTTAGTAATATGCATTTTCCACAAACATTTTGAATGCTGTTTTCTAAATTTTGTTCTGGATATAAGCACAGTCCCTAGTATAACAAAACTTTCTGCTCCTTGACAAGTTTTATTTACTATATAGCCAAAGCTGTAATGAGAACATCTTCAGAAAAGTCAATCCCAAAGCAGGGAAGTATCTTAACGTATATTAGGCTTCACGGTGTGGTAGACCTTTCATGTCAGCAGACTTAACAATCACAATTTTAACTCTTTCATGTATAAAAGATACAGGGACCAGCAGTTGGCATAATGGCTATATTGCTGGACTCCCATGTAGTCGATCGTGGTTTGAGTCCCGGACCCGGTGGCTTAAACTCACTCCAGTTGTGTGTGCATGCGTGCCCAAGATCTGGAGAGGAGAATGGAGGAGAAGGGATTGCGGTGTGGCCATCTCCCCCTGGGGGGTGATTTCTCACTTTCTGTCTCTCTGTCTCTCTCTGTCTTTCTGGTGAGAGCATGCACCCTATAGCAATAACCTCTCCAAAAAAAAGGATACATAACTTGGGATAATACTTAGGTACATAGATGAATACATTCTAGGGGGACACCTGTTAAAAACTGAGTCATGGGTCCAGTAGATGGGTGGTGGTTCAAGTCACTGGACTCTCACAGGGCCAACTGGTTTGAGTTGTAGACTTGGCAGCTTTTGCTTTCTCACTGTGAAAAGAATCAATTCTGGTTCTTCTTGGGTCTTCAGAGGTCCAATGCCCAGTGGCCAGAGTTGGGGGAGTAAAAGAACTTGAGCCAAGGAGGTCAAATAAGGAACAGACATATGTACCTTCTAGCTCAGTGGTCCCCAACCTTTTTTGGCACCAGTGACTGGTTTCATGGAAGACAATTTTCCATGGACCAGGTGTGTGTGGGGGTGATGGATGGTTTTGGGGGTGATTCAAGTGCACTTCATTTACTGTACACTTTATTTCTATTATTCTTACCTTGCAAAATATAATTTAAAAATGTACAACTCAGCATCGCACAGAATCAGTGGGGACTCAGAGCCTTTTTTTTTTTTTTTTTTTTTTTGCAACTGGAATGCAGCTACATTCAAAGCCAAACTAGAATCATGGGGTGATGTGTGGACACTGGGATAGTCAACATGTTTCAGTGTGAGAATCTAATGCCACCATGGGCTGGCAGGAGGCGGAGCTTCACAAACTATGGGGAGTGGCTCTAAACACAGAGGAAGTTTTGCTCATTGCCCTCCTTCTCACCTCCTGCCGTGCAGCCCAGTACCAATCCATGGCCCTGGGGGCTGGGGACCCCTGCTCTAGCTTCAAATCATGAGGCAAAATGAAAGAGTGCATCTGGATTACGGTGGTGTTTGGAGAGAGTAAGGCGTCAGGATTAGGAACCTGAAGATACTTGACCCAAGCAGTTACCAAATGTGGACTGAAACAATCATGCATTACAACGTAACTGCATTAACTACAATGAACACGTTCATACGTGCGTGTTAACATGCACGTGAGCTAGTTCATATCCAGAGTTACACCACGGGTGAGAAAGGGACAGATAGAAGTCATGCTGTTAACATTCTAATACCCAAAGGCAAAGGCTGCCCTTCACTCAATCTATTCTATGGAACCTGGGAAATTCTTTTTTTTTTTTCCCTTAAATAATTATTTTATTTAACTTTATTTATTTATTTTACTTTGACCAGAAAGAGAGAGAGGGAAAGCGAGAAAGCAAGCTGCCAGGTCTGGAACGTGAACTATGGTTGGCCATGTGAGAGTCCAGTGCCCTTAACCACAATGCCACCTGCCGGCCCCTCCTGGGAAATTCTTAGTAAGCAGTGAAGAGAGATCTCCTTGTTTAGCTAGGTCTAAAACAAGACAGGGGAGAGGAGTTACAGGGGTACAGGGGGTGCCTTAATACTACAAAATGTTCCTCCTAATAGCAGGGAAATCCACGACAGTAGAATTTACATTTGGGTAAAGCAGCTCAGATACGTAACAGTATTTCTAGCTATCACCTACCAAGGACAGGAATTTTTCGAGATGTCTGACGATTATAAATAAGCAAATTTCCTTTAACGGTCCCAACAGCCAGGAAACTCCCAACTTTTGACCAAAGGAGGAAAGACATTTGATCCCTGTAACATTAAGATAGAAATTACTAAACAATTCACAAGCATTACTTTTAAACAGTCCTTTGTACAAAGTTCTTCAAGGGGCCAGTGGGTGGCATGGTGGATAAGGCATTGGATCCGACAAGGCTCACCCCGTGGTTCAAGTCCCCAGTCTAGAGGTTTGAAAAACATTCCAGGCACATGTGCATGAGTGCCCAAAATCCCGAGGGGAGAATGGAAGAGAAGGGACTGCAGAGTGGCCATCCTCTTGGGGAGTGATTTCTCCTTTCTATCTCTTTGTCCCTCTCTGGTGAGCATACACACCCTATGGCAAAAACCTCAAAAAAAAAAAAAAAGGAGCGGTTGGATCTGTGCAACACAACAGTGACCTTTAAAGACAAGCGGAGGGACCAGCAGTTAGTGTAACGGCTATGTCACTGGACTCCCATGTAGTTGACCATGGTTCGAGTCCCGGACCCGGTGGCTTAAAACTCACGCTGGGCACGTGTGCATGTGTGCCCAAGATCCTGAGAGGAGAATGGAGGAGAAGGGATTGCGGCGTGGCCATCCCCCATGGGGGGTGATTTCTTGCTTTCTGTCTCTCTGTCTGCCTGTCTGTCTGGTGAGCGCACGCGCCCTATAGCAAAAACCTCTCCAAAAAGTAAATAAATAAATAAAAAGAATTTAGGGAACCAGCAGTTAGCGTAATGG